GCCTCCCAAGTAGCTGGGACCACACGCGCCCGCCACAACGCCCGGCTATTTTTTGGTTGCAGCTGTCATTGTTGTTTGGCGGGTCCGGGCTGGGAATTCCAACCCGCCACCTTAGGTGTACATGGCTGGCTCCTTAGCCGGTTGAGCTATAGGCGCCGAGCCGGGACTTTGTCCTTGTTGCAGGCACTGTAGCAGCACCCCTCAGCTCAGCCTCTCCTCATGGCCATGCCTCCTATCCCTCTCCCCCACCCACACTTCTGACCCTACCTGATTCCTGCCTGTTTGGGGGGTACCTAGCACCCACTGCATGGAAAAACAAGGAATTAATACCCTTGGGGAGGCCCTTTGACCAGTGGACATTAGTTGGTAGCTGGTGGATATGTTCTTACCTCATCCCTCCAACCCCTAGACTTCCCTGAGAAGCTGAAGACCACTCAGAGCAACAGGTCATGCTGGCTTTTGAGCTGACTTTTTGTTAGCTCCCAAACATTGTCTTGTGTTGCTTATCTCACCTTCCCTGCTTCACTCCCCTTTCTCTCATTCCTGCTTCCTGGGATTTCAATTAAAAAAATAAGTGGGGCGGCGCCTGTAGCTCAGTGAGTAGGGCGCCAGCCCCATATACCGAGAGTGGTGGGTTCAAACCCGGCTCCAGCCAAACTGCAACAAAAAGAATAACCAGGCGTTGTGTCAGGCACCTATAGTCCCAGCTACTCGGGAGGCTGAGGCAAGAGAATTGCCTAAGCCCAAAAGCTGGAGGTTGCTGTGAGCTATGATGCTACAGCACTCTACTGAGGGCAACAAAGTGAGACTCTGTCTCTAAAATAAATAAATAAATAAATAAATAAGTGGCACATCTGTCTCTGCCACCAGCTTTGCTTTCTGAGGGGTCCTGCCTACACCACCACTCTGGAGGCAGAGGGGAGGGTGGGCACTGCCAGATCTGGGGACAGACTCACCTTTGCAGGCCTGGCAGCAAGAGTCAGGCAGCGGGAGGGGGGAGGGGCAGCCTGGTTCAGGGCAGTTCGTGAGGCCACAGTAGATCTGGCCCTCCTAAGGGACAGAACAAACAGAGATTGGGAAATCATTCCCTGAGGGCAAATGGCCTTCAGGCCCCCCACTCAGGTGGGGGAGGGAGGGAGCAGCAGAGTCTCCAGGGCAAGACCCAGCCAGCTCAGAGGAAGAGTCCCCACTTCCACTTCCAGGCCCTGCAGGTGACATTCATCCTTCAGCTAGTAAAGCTTTTGCACACCCCGTCTATCTCTGGGCTCTCACAGCAACCTGGTGAGATAGGGTTCCTCCTGTCTCACATATGATGAGCCTGGAGCAGGGCCTAAAGCCACCTTCAGTCACATAGATGGCTGGGGCAGAATGGAAGAGAGCCTGGTCTTCAGGCTTTTCCTACTGAAATCAATGTCCTTCTCCCTTGGCTTAGAACAGTGGGCCCATGGGGCTGGGTGGGGGGAACACCTGGGCTCATCTTGCTCCTACTGAAGGCTCTTGGTCTCCAACTTCAGATTCAAGCCCGGAAAGGCAAGACCACAAAGGAAAGGGCCTTCTGGGAGCCAGGGGGCCAGATGACCTTGGAGAAGTCACTGTCCTCTGGGCCTGAGGTTCTTCCTCTGTGAAGGGGAGGGGCATGCCCGTCTGGGGTGTAAAGATCAAGGGAGAGAATGGTGGCAAAAACCCTTTTTGAACTGTAAGGCACAACGTGCCTGGGAGGAAGCGATACTGCCTTGAGTCCTTTCCCTATTCCTTTCCCAACAAGCCTGAGATGTAAAGATCTGATCCCTCAGGTGGGATGGGAGCCAAGCCAGTCCCATATAAACAGGGATAAGGCCCAAATATCGAGGGAGAAGATACAAAGGAATCACAAGAGTGCCCTCACAGCCCAGCCCCATCGTGTCCATCTCTTCCCACAGCCCCTCCTAATTCAAGCCCTGGTCCCTTCCGAGGAGGCAGCATGACAAGGGAAAAGAAGATGGGCTTCAAAGTCAGGTAGTCTCAGGTCTGAATTCTGGCTCTGCCACTCTCTAGCTGTGTGACCTTAGGCAAGTCACTTAACTGTTTTAAGCACCAGTTTCCTCATCTGAAAACTAGGAATAGTGATATTCAGCCAGGCACATTGGCTCAGGCTGGGCACAGTGATTCATGCCTGTAATCCCAGCACTCTGGGAGGCCAAAGCTGGTGGATTGCTTGAGCTCAGGAGTTCAAGACCAGCCTGAACAAAGCAAAACCCCCCTACTAAAAAGAGAACAACTAGCTGGTTGTTGTGGTGGGCACCTGTAGTCCCAGCTACTTGGAAGGCTGAGGCAAGAGGATTGCTTGAGCCCAAGAGTTTGAGATTGCTGTGAACTATGATGCCATGGCACTCTACCCAGGGTGACAGAGTGAGACTGTCTCAAAAAAATTTTGAAAAAAAAATAGTGAATCCTTCTCCCGAGATTGTTGGGATACTGTAGTAAATAAGTGTTTCCGTGAACCTAGGGACACAATATACTAGACTGTTGCCAGAGGCTCACAGCCTGCAAAACGTAATTGCTTGCTAGGTTGGTTTTTAAGTAGTTACTCCTCATTATCTGTGGGTTAATCCTTTAAGATTCAGAGCCTTAGACTGATAACACCCTCTCAAAGGAAGGTAGAGGTAGCAGGCCCAAGAGAAGCAACTTGCTCATGGTCACTCAGGAAACCAGGACAATGCTGGAGCCCAAACACTGTTCTCCAATACCTACTCTAGAGAGAACATTAGAGATCACTTGGCCAGGCTCCCTAGACACTCAGAGGAGCTGAGGCCCAGAGAAGTGTGGCGACCAGGTGGGTAGTAAGAAAATCAGGAGGACAGGGGTTGCTCTTGCCAATCCACATGAGTTGCTGTAAGGTTTAGAATGACATGGCAGAAAGTCAGCTGCAAAACTATAGAAAGGTCACACAGAAACACCCCCTCCACAAGGAGGAGCCAAAGACTTTCCAGATCAGGCCCTGCTTAGCTTCGGTCTCTGTCCCCTGATAACACTGCAGAGTCAGCCCTGGCTATCTCTGGGATCAACTCTGCCCATAGGCAGGAGGAGTTTAAGTAGCTTCAGATAAAATTGCATTTGCTATAAACAGTCTGGCCCTGTCCCTGTCCCCCAGGACTGGTAACTAGTCATTCATTTGTTCATTCTCTCATTCAACTATCATTACAGACACCCTCTGTGTGCCTGGCCCTGGACCAAGAACAGCAGAGGATGCAGAAATAAAATGGGTATGTTTCCTCCCCTCAAGGAATGTAGTGTCTCCTGGGGAAACAAAGTGCAGGAGGTATGGAAGTCCAGAGAAGTTGCCTGACCCAGCTAGGACCAGGACGTTCCAAACCCTAGAAGTTCCCTTCCCCTAAGCCCCTCATTTGCTTTGACCAGGAAACAATCCCCCCACCCCCAGTCCATGCTACTGTGTTCCTGTCAGGCCCAGACCACTGGTTGGGGCTGAGGGAAAACAGAGGGCCTTACGGTGCAGCTGCAGAGGACACACTGGTTGGGCAGGCGGGAGGGGAACAGCTCGTGAGCACTGAAGATCTCTCCATGCTGGTACATGGTCCCGTTGTGCTGGCAGGACTTTGGGGGGGCCCGGAGCCCAGAGGGGGTATGAGGTTCTGTAGGTAGGGAGGGGCAGGAGGAAGAAGAAAATGAGGTTTCGTGTGGATCTAATATCTTTGCTAGAATCAAGTAGACCACTTTTCTGAAGACTTTGCATCTTATCCCATCTTGACATTTAAATCAAGCTCTGGCCTTGGCCTTGCCAGCCATTGCCCCCATCAGCCAACCAAGAGGCCCCACTGACACCAACACCTGACCACATCATTTCCTCCCACGGCCCCCCACCAGAGCCTTTCAATCGCTCTGCGTTTGAGCCAACCCCCACCAGAGCAAGAAGAAAAAGCCAGAAGCCTCTGCTCCACTGAGCCTCCAATCAGGTGGCACCCGAGTTGGTTCATTCCACACTGCACGAGTGTTCATGGAGCCCCTGCTGGTGCCAAACACTATTCTAGGCACTGAGGATACAGCAGTGGACAAAACAGAGCCCCGACTCTCATTGATTACATGCAAGTTGAGCCAGCTGGGATGATCTAGGCTGTCACTAGACTGTGCTTGTCTTTCACAGGCCACCAGAACCCCTCTCCTCACCACTGCTCATTAGTCAGTCTTCATCCTGCCTGGTCAAATGGTAAAACCTCTGGTCCTGAGAGAACCCACTTGTTCACTCAAGATACCTTTACCAGCTGGGCACAGTGGCTCACGCCTATAATCCTAGTACTCTGGGAGGCCAAAGCAGGAGGATCACCTGAGCTCAGGAGTTTGAGACCAGCCTGAGCAAGAGTGAGACTCTATCTCTACTGAAAATAGAAAAACACCACCCAAGCACGGTGGCAGGCACCTGTAGTCCCAGCTACTCGGGAGGCTGAGGCAACAGAATCGCTTGAGCCCAAGAGAGTTTGAGGTTGCTGTGAGCTATGACACCATAGCACTCAACCCGGGGTGACAGAGTGAGACTCTATCTCAAAAGAAAAAAAAAAGAAGACACTTTTACCAAAGTGGCACTCCTCTGTACCAGGCACCATGACAGGAACTGGGAATGGACTGATGAATAAGACTCAGCCCCTGCCATCAAGAAACTCCAAACTTCACTGGGTAGAGAGACAAGCCATAGAATGGCACTGCCCATGAGGGCCAGGGCGGATGGAGGCACAGCTGCTGTGGCAGCGTTGAGTCAGGAGGGTGGTCAAGGTACTTCCTGGGGGGCTACTGGCTGAGCTGAGTCTTGAAGGACAGGCAGAACCAAGCAGGCAGAGGAGCAGGGGACAGAAAGAGAGGGAGTGAACAGCATTTGAACAAGACTGCTTAGCTTCAGTCTCTGTCCCCTGATAACAGTCAGGCAGAGTCAGCCCTGCCTGTCCCTAGGCCCATCTCTGCCCACAGGCAGGAGGAGTTTAGGTAGCTCTGGGTGCAGCACAGGGGATGGGGGTAGGGGAATCCCAAAGTCAGCAGGAGAGGAAAGGACCTTTGGCATTAGCATCAGGCATGGAGGAGGCAGGATAAAGCTGAGGGCCTCTGCTTCCCTCGGGAGCCCAGAGCCAGGAATGTCTATGGCCCTAGTCAGAGCCCTACTGGGCTCCCACCTGGAAAATGAGCCCTTCTCCACAGACAATCCACAGGACAGTGGTGCCAGAGCCTACAGCTGAAGCCAAAACCTGGAGTCACTTCCTTCTTTTTTTTTTGAGACAGAGACTCAAGCTGTCCCCCTGGGTAGAGTGCTGTGGCAACCTCCAGCAACCTCCAACTCCTGGGCTCAAGCGAGTCTCCTGCCTCCGCCTCCCAAGTAGCTGGGACCACAGGCGCCCGCCACAACGCCTGGCTATTTTTTGGTTGCAGCCGTCATTGTTGTTTGGCGGGCCGGGCTGGATTCGAACCCGCCACCTTAGGTGTATGTGGCTGGCGCCTTAGCCGCTTGAGCCACAGGCACTGAGCCTAGTCGCTTCCTTCTTCACCTTCTTGATGCTTCTAAATAATCGATTCTCCTCTCAACATCTCCCTCATTTCTAAGTTGGCCTCCCCCAGCCACCACTCACTGGCCACTTGGTTATGCCAGAACCACTTTTCTCTCTTACCTCCACTCCCTAGCATACCAGTCTCAAAGGGTCTTAGAATCTTAAAATCATGGGATCATAAACATTTAGCATCAGGACACAGAGTCATCAAGTCTCAGCTAGGACTGGGAAGAGTCTCAGAGTATCTGAGTCAGCCCCTTTAGTCATTTCCAGCCCCACAGTGGTCATCCTGGGGTCTCCCCGCAGGGCCTTCCAGACAAGATCACTCACCCCTCCTTTCCAGAGTGTGTCCATTCTCTCCAGCTCCCGACAGCCAGAGAGAGACTGGAGCCTCAGTGTGCCAACCAATAGGCCAAGCAAGCCCGTTTCCTTCAGCTACTTTCCACATTTTCTCCCTCCTCCTGTGGGGCACACCTACTTAAGAATGAGTTTGCTGCTGCCCCAGCACTGAGTGGGAATCCAGGATGTTTCCTCTCCTGAGTACCTTTGTGTCTCAACACCCCTAATGCACACAGAGACTGCCTCTCTCCTTCCAGGGTCCTCCCTCAGCCAGAGGACCGTATTGGGAGTGACACAGAGGTGGGCAATGGGAGGCTGGTGCCAGGGGAGAAGCAGGGCTACTTACCCACACACCTGGGACAGCACTGCTGTGGCTCCGTCACAGGCTGGGGGCAGTGGACAGGTGGACAGTGGAGGCGGTAACAACTCACATGGGCATTCTGAAGGGGACACAAGGGTCAGCCCTGGCTCTAAGGAACCAATGCCTCCCACCTGTGGCTATCCTTTCCCCAAACCCGCACCCAAATGCCGAACTCTGTACTTGTTTTCATCCCATGATAGGCTTGAAAACAACGAACTCAACTGTGCCCAGCTCCTCCCCTTCCCCTGCCCAGGTTGGGGATCTCACTTGGCTCCTCCCCCTCACACCCTCGAGAAGGGCAGACCTGTTCATAGATTTGCTCATACATCGTGTGTCCTTCGTAGTATTTAAGAACTACAAGTAAATGCCTTGAGTTATTTTGACATTGATCAAAGTTATTTTGACTGTGCCCTTTTAACTCTGGGTGTGAGCATTGTGATCAACAGAGGAATGTTAACAGGAGAGCAGGTGATGATGCAAGGGACAAGACTAAAAACTTGAAACAGAGATGACTCAGGGCTTTGCAATCCCACCCTCTGTATCTCTGGGTGCGAAGACAAAGCCTTTGGAGTTGGTACCAGAGAAAGAGGGGCCCCAAGTGCTCACTCCACTGGATTGTGGAGACATCTGCATCCTTCTCATCCAGTCAACCCTGAAATTCCAAGGGAGTTATCAGCCCAGGGCCTCACTCCATGTCAGTGTGCTAAAATCTGAATAAACAAATGAGTGGGTAGATGAGAGCAAAAGGTAAAAGGGAGATGGAGGGTCTCTCTATACATGAATGGAGCTAGCTTTATTCAAAACCTGGAAGTTGTCAAAGTTTTTTGTTTCCTGCCCCCTAACCCTCCTGGCTCCTTTCCCCTGCCTTGGCCCACCCAAGTTCCCTGACAGTACTTCTTCCTGAGGCAGCGTCTTGCCCCATGGAGGAGTCTAGACCAGCCCTAGCCCTTCTGGGGTCACTATTTCTCAAGATGGTCAGAGGTAATCATGAGAACTAATCAGCACCAAGGGGTACCCCAGAGCCCACAGAACTGGCCTGAGCTCTAACGGGGCCTTCTAAAGGCCCAGCACACACAGCCACTTAATAAATGTCTAGAGAGGAAACTGAGGATGGGGTTTCAGGGACTAGGCGGCCTGAAGAGTCACAATCTCTAAGAATCTCTCTAAGATCCCAGCCTCAGAAGAGCCAGGGAGTAGATGACCAGCAGTACGCAGCAGGAAGCAGGATGGGGACTGGGCGCGGGTGGGGGGGACACCAGGTGTGTAGTTAAGCCCTTTGCAGCCAAAAGGAGCTCTTAGGAAGCCATAGTTTCCATTTATTGAGCGACTACTGGGTAGGGGCTTTATATCATATGTAAAAAGATTATCTCACTTCATCTTCTCCACAACCCTGCAAGTAACTATTGTTATCCACACTTCTAAAATGAGAAAAGAGCCTCTCTGAGAGATTCGGTTGCCTAAGATCACAGTGCCCAGGCCCATGCACTGTCCACAACACTGAGCCATGTCTGGCAGACGGGCACAACTCATCTACTCGCTCAGTATTTGCTGCACGTCTGCTGTGTAGCAGGCCCTCTTCTGAGCAGTGGGGACATACCATTGAATGGGACAGAAGTTTCCACTGTCAGAGAGCTTACATCCTATCGCAGTGGGAGACAGACTATAAAAAAATTAAGTAAGTAGGAACAAGACAATGTCAGAAGTTAAATGTATGATAATAAAATGGAGTCGCGTGGTGTAGCTCACAGAGTTAGACTACTTTAGAAACCTCTGTCAGGGAAGGCCTCAGGAGGAGGTAACGTTTATGCTGTGAACTGGGAGATGAGAAGGAGCCTTTCAAGAGAAGATGTGGGGGAAGGACGTTCCAGGTAGAAGGAACAAGAGGGAATTGAGTCTCCAGTGTTGGAAGGACTGACAGAAGACCAGCGTGGCTGCGGCAGAGCGAGCAAGTATGAAATGAAGTTGGAAAATGAGGCAGAGTCAGAGGACACAGAGCCCCCGACAGGGCATGTGAATTTCACCGTAGGTGCCACAAGAAGCCATTGGAGGGTATTAATAGCAGAATGACGTGATCAGCTTTATGTTCAGAAAAGATCATGCGAGCTGCCATGTGGAGGATGGGCTTAAAGTGGGGAAAGCCCATGAGAGGGATGAAGGTGGCTTGGAGCAGGGGACCGGTGATGGTGGAGAGTAGTGGAGGGATTAGGGGTGAATTTTGGAGACACCAGTGACAGTCCTTTGGGTTGAGGACTGAGCGTATGTGAACTCTGGGGAAGGAGAAATGAATTAACGCCAATGCATCTAAAAACTTGGATTTTGTCAAGAGGACCACATGCTATGTCTGGAATTTTCTGTTATGGTTTCCTTTCTATTGTCCAGCTATGTTTCATAAAGTGCTTTATGAAAAGGCCGATTGGCCTCAGATGAGCTAAGGAAAACCAAGGGGAAGCAGCTGTGGGGGGTTGTGTCCCCATTTCCGTCTGTGGGCCACAAAGTAGAAGCAAGACAGAAAGGCCCTGAGAGTGGGAGCCCAGGTTCAGAGTCAGGAGAGGGGCTGGCCCACCCTCTTCCACCTGCTAGCATCTCCTGAGGAGCCTTTCTCTGCTCCTATCCTAAGAGGGTTCTGTTTAACAAGGGAGGCTTTTAGAGGCCTTCTGCATTCTACTCCCAGCTCTGTGCAAGGAAAGAGAGGGGCTCAGGGCCTGGTTCCAGCTGGAAGCTACCACCCCTTCCTGCCAAGCATAGCACCCAGACAAAGAAAGCTGGGGACATTCAGACTGAGGAGGTTTCAAGCCTCCTAAGCCACCTCCTTCTCTTCCACCCCTCCAACCTCATACCTTACTTGAGAATTCTGGACCACATGAGGGTTTCATTTATTCTACCCAGCTGATATTATAAGACCCTCTGGAGGTGCTGGGTTGCCATGGGATGGGAGAGATGGAGATGAAAACAAAGACAACGTCTCTGTGCCCGTTGGTTCAGCCTCTGGCAGGGCGTTGTTTTGGGCATGAGTGAGGGCCCAGGAAGACCTGTTCTCAGAGGTCTAAGCGGGGCATAACTGACATACACAGGTTAACTATGACACCTGGCCAACAGTGATCAGAAGAAAGGGACAGAGAAACCGATGTGGATCCCAGAAGAAGAAAATACTCCCAGGTGAAGGGCATGTGCTCATTTGGCTAAAGCCCTGAAGAATGGGCCAAGAGCAGTGGCTCTTGCCTGTAATCCTAGCTGCCTGGGAGGCCAAGGCAGGAGGATCCCTTGAGGTCAGGAGTTCAAGACCACCCTAAACAAGATTGAGACTAAAAATACAAATACAGCTGGCATCTGTAGTCCCAGTTACTTGGGAGGCTGAGGCAAAAGGTTCACTTGAACCCAGGTTATTTGAAGTTGCTATGAGTTAGGATGACACAACACGGCACTCTAGCCTGGGGCAACAAAGTAAAACTCTGTCTCAAAAAAAGAGGCCTCTTTGCCTATTTGCCCTGGAAATGGAGGCCCATTCACCATACATGGATCCTACTTTGTAAACTTTCTTACTCTGTAAACCTATCATTCTTGTCTTCAATAAACTTTGTTTCATGCTTGCCTTAAGTTAAAAAAAAGAGAGAGAATAAATATTTGGGCCAATGGAATTAAAAAAACACATTCTAAGGTAGGGCAGGAGAGGTGGCTGGAAGGAATGGGCGGTAAAGTCAAAAAAGGTTTCACTGTGGCCACACAGGAGTCAGGGAAGCTGGTACTAGTACTGGGTGGAAAGCAGGCTGGGATGTGAGATGGAAGACTCGGGTCCTCATCCCAGCCCAGCCAGCCCATTGTGTAACTTATCTCCACACAGTCACATAATCTTCTCCTGTGTTGAGTCCTCAGTAGTGAAGTGGCTTGCCCCAAGTCCCTCAGCTGCTGCTGACAGCGTGATTCTACAGGGCTTGGTTCCAGGATGCCCCCGACCTCCAGAGTCAGGCTGTCCTCCCTCCCTCTGGGGTGAATTTTCTGGAAATCTCCCAGACATACCTGATGCAGGGGGCCATGGGAACCTACCTCAGCACAGGTGCAGCGCAGGCAGTACATCAGGCCTTGTGGCTCCAGGTAGGGGTGCCAGCTTTCACCAGGGGAGTATCTCTTCCCATGGAAAAGGCAGAACATGCCTGGGCCTGGTAAACCAACCAGTGCTCTGTTAGTCCCAGGAGGCTCCAGCCCGAGGACCCTGTCTCACCCCTCCTCCTTTCTGACTCTAAGAAGGATGTCCTCCGTCCACTTAGGCAAAAGAGAATCTGCGGTAGTCAGGGGCCAGGATGTCTGAGCTTGAGTCTCAGCTTGATCACCCACTTGCTGACGTTAGGTAATGTCTCTACCCCTGTCTGAGCCTGAACACTTATCTCACGGGGCAGTTAGGGATCAAGCAGTAAAAATGTTTTACAGACTTAAATTGTAGTGTAGATGTCAGTTGTCATGATTAGATGATTAATAAGAGGTACAGAGAGGATAAATTATACTGCTAGGGGCACGGTCAATCGCCAGGCGGGCATGACAGCACTAGTGTCCTGACTCTTGATCCAGTGCTCCTCTGCCTTCATAATCGCACCTGTTTCATTTACTTATTTAGAACATCACCACACCCTTCCTTCCTTCCTCTCCCTTTCTCTCCCCACTACCCCTAAACACTGGGTCTTCTCTGGGTCCTGCAGCCTACACTTTGAACAAAGCCAATCACAGCAACTTTCTTGCCTTCATACTGTGTGTGCTACATCCTCAGATCTTCCTGAGCCATGATGGAAAGGTTGTCAGAAAACTGACATTAAGTATCCTTAAAAATGGTCATCAGGACTACTGTGATTTGTGATTGCCATGTCTGTTGATTTTTTTGTAATCTGCACATCAATCGTCAACATGTAGATGAAGACTTCTAAGATACTTGAGATCCGTTAGTTTTGTATAATGGGTTAGACAGCTCTCCTGCCATCCTGCGTTCTAGAAACATCTGCCCCTCTCTCACCTCTCTAAGCCCAATAATCCACTCTCACCCCCACCTGTTACCCACTCACTACCCATCTTGGTCAGTCCTCCCAGGCTAGTGCTGTGGTTCCCTACCCTCTGCCTCCTGCCCTGTCCCTGCCAACCATCCTCCATGCAAGTACCTGTTGATCTTCCCAACCCAGAGGGATGCTATCTTTCCTATGGGAAAACTCTCTATTATCTAAGCCCTTTTCAGGTGGAACTGGGCGCCCAGCACAAGCTAAGTGCCAGCAAATGTTTGCTGAATTAAGTGAGATTGAAACAGGGAGAGAGGAACCGATATATTTATTGACTTATCTTCTCCATGCTGAACTCTTTACAGAAGTTACTTCTTTCATTAACGTTATTGTTTGGACAATTAAATTGGAAAATGCTGAGTCTAGTTCCCGACACATGGTAGGATGCTGTTATTAAAATAATTATGGTGGGCTATGCCCACCCCCATAACCCAACCCTGGCCTGCAAAAACAAAAAATAGCTGGGCGTTGTGGCAGGCGCCTATAGTCCCAGCTACTCGGGAGGCTGAGGCAAGGGATCACTTAAGCCCAAGAATTTGAGGTTACTGTGATGCCATAGTACTCTACTGAGGGCAACAAAGTAAAACTCTGTCTCAATTAAAAATAAATAAATAAAATAAAATAATTATGATAACAATCACAAAGACACATATCCATCTTACTGTGCCTGTGATTGTTAAATTATAATTGTTAAAAAAACTAAGGCTCACAGAGACTAAGGGACTTGCCTAAAGCCCTCCAGCTCGTGATTTCAACCCAGGACTCCTGGCTCCAAAGCACAGCCCTTGGGTTTCACCTCATCATGGATGGCTTTTTACTCAATCCCAGGGCCTAAAAGCTCAATTCCTTTTTCTCTCTGCCCCACAGGCCACCATCCCCCATGCCATTTTTCTCCTAGACCTCTGTTGATCTGGAATCTAGAAGTTGCCTTTCATGCCTCCTCCTCCTTCCCACTTACTAGAGTCAAGCATCTTGGAAACGTGGCCTCTTACACTTCCTGAATCACATTCCCCTAGACTTTTAAACTCCCAGAAGACACATCTCCTGGGAATAGGAGATCATGGGCCATTCCTAACTATTACAAAGTTTACTTTATAAGAAGCTGCAATTCAGCCTTCCTCTGACTTCCCACACTGCTCCTTCTCTGCCCTCTCAGGCCTTTTAGGACAAAGATTTGAGGCTGCATGATGCCTTCAGTCTGTGTATTGAGGGCTGCTGAGAGCCCCAGGAACACATGGCTTAGTTCCCTCCCCATCCCCTCAAAGTGGAGGGGTGATCAAAGTTTGTCTCTCACATTCCACGGCTGGCCCGGCTGGCCCGGATCAAATGAGCTGTGTTTATCTCTCAGCCTCTACTGCCAGAGCGGGTGGGACATAGGCCCAGCTGGGGTGCTGGTCAGAGCCAACCCAACTCTCCAAGGAGTGAATAATGTCTTTCTTCCTTAGTCTCCTCCCCAAACCAGGAAGGGAGAGATTGCAACACTGCCACCACCTTAGGTCCAGCCTGTTGCTGAAGAAACCTTGTCCTACCTTCCTTGGGGCAGCCCTGTAGCCCCAGCCTCCGTGCCAAGTGGCACCCCCTCTACCTCACCGCCTGCTTGGAGCATGAAGACAGAGACAGTGCCTCAGCCAATACCTAGGCCAGAAGGCCCATTCCCTCCACCAACAGATCTGGCAGAGACTGAGAATGTGGGGGGCCTGGCAGGAGGTCCCCTGTGGCCACAATCCCCACCCTACCACACCCTCTAAGGTGAGAGGCACAAGGAAGGGTGGCATTGCCTGGAGCTCTCTCTTTTTCTAGGGAGGCGAGTACCCAAGGCCATGCCAAAACCAGCAGGAGGAAGACTTGCCAGGCGGCAGGGCCCTGGCACTAGCCCTAATCCTGTATGAGGCTCAGAGAAGGAGCTCTAGCTCCTTAAGCTACAAGGTCACTGTGTGAGGTTCAAGAAGACTACTTCTTCCCTTCTCTGAGCCTCAGTTTCCTAGCTGAGAAATAAGAGAAGTGGGGCAAACTATGATCTTCGAAGATTTTCTGCATGGATAGTTTATGAATCCATGACTTCAAGATTCTAAGACTCCAGAGATCTAGGTTTCTGTGAGTCAAGATTTCAGAGCTTCATGTTTCCAAAAGCCTACCATTCACAGAACACAACGCTTCTAAAATTGCACCATGTTATGGCTCTGAAATTGGATCATTCCAAGAATCTTGGATCTGTTGATGGTCCCACATGCAGCTCTCCAGGGCTGTCAGGAGGATTAGGATGAGCTTCAGAAGGCCAGCGGGGCCACTTCTGAGTGATTTGGTGAAGGAGGCTGTTTGTCTCTAACGTCTCCCTCCTTCCCCACCTCACCCGTTGGACCCCTGTGGCCTTCCTACTCCTGCCCTGGCCCTGCCCTTCTTTCTCTCCCACCCACCACCACTCCTCATCTCACCCAACCGTGCCTGTGTCCCTCTCCCCAACTTGGGGGCCACGTGCACCTTCTCTCAGGGTCCTTCTGGATGGAGTCAGACAGGCTGGGGTTCAAATTGTGGATTTGGCTTTTATTTGCACCCTGAGTTTAGAGAACTTACTCAACCATTCCAGGCCTCTGTTTCCGTATCTGTTAAGGGGAACCAAGAATAGTCCTTACCTCTTGGGGGTTTTGTAGAGTTAAAGCAGGTGTCATATGCCCAATGCCTGACATTAACGTATTAGACACTCAATAAACCAGCAGGTAAAAACAAACAGACAAAAATTAGATCTGGGTACTGACCCCAAACTTCCTTAACAGTCTGTCTCTCATGGTATTACTCTGATTCCCAGAACTCTAGGAGGCAGCCTCCAGGCACCCACTGTAGTGTGAACATCACAGCTGAGGCCAGATTCCTATGTCTCACGATTATACCAACCTTCTTTCCCATAGCTCCCTGCACTCTTCCAGCCAGGCCAGTCTTGCTCGATATCACCTCAGGGCCACACAGGCCTCAGGCTGGGATACAGAGATGAAAGTGGCTCAGGAGGTTGGAGCAGAGAATGGGAAGCAGGAGAGGCAGAGGCTCTCAGAGGGCCTTGAGAGCAAAGGAAAGCCGTGGAAAGGCTTTAAACTGGAGAGGAAGTGACCAGGTTTGCATTCTAGAATCATCACTGCGGCCACACAAGGAGGGATGGAGAGTTGACTGGAGGGCAGGACTGGAGGCAGAGAGACCAGGAGAGGCTGCTGTAGTCATCCCACTTTCAGCTAATGCTGGACCTGGATTGTTGGCCTGGACCAAGATGGAAGCAGCGCTGAGGGGCAGAAGTACAGATCTGAGGGACATTAATAAGTGCAGTGGGCAAGCTTTGGGACAAATTGGATAGTCAGCAGAGAGGGTGAAGAAGCAGGCAAGGATGGGTGTGAGGCTTGGGACTAAGCCTGTGTATTTACAAGTGAATGTGGAGCACTTGGCAAGTGGGCAGCAAACGTCCTTATTAGTGCTGCAGTGGTCCCCCTTGTCCATGAGGGTACGAGCCAAGGTCCCCAGTGGATGCCTGAAACTGTGCATAGCACCAAACCTCGTAAAGACTATGCATTAATTTTTTTTTCCTGAAAGTTACTTATCTTATTAACATTACTGTTTCACAGATAGAAGATTCATTCTCACCACAGATCTTAGTTAGCAGCCTTAGTAAATGATTTTTTTCTTTCCTTAAAGTTTCACTTAAAGGAAGCATTTTATGGCTTCTCTAGCAGATCTAATTGCCAGCATCACTACCCCTGCGTAGCGCGGCCATTATGATGTAAATAAGGGGTCCTTGCTCTGCCATACCACAATAGTCCACAATAGAGGATCTGATAAGCAAGATAGATAGTTAGTTACTAAGTGACTGACGAATGGGCCGGTAGCACACAGAGGATGGAGATGCTGGACAAAGGGATGATTCATGTCCCCAGTAGGACAGAGTGGGATGGTAAGAGATTTCATCACCCTGCTCAGAATGGCATGCAATTTAAAACTTATGAATTCTGTATTTCTGGAATTTCCTAGTTAATATTTTTGGACTGAGGTTAACCACGAGTAACAGGGACCAAGGAAAGCAAAACTATAGATAACAGGGGAACTGTGCTAGTAATATTACTACTTCCTATTATTCATTTATTGAA